GTCAATGGAGAAGCAGGAAATCAGAATTTGAAAACCTAGGTCAATGGTGGGAGGTGGGGAAAACACACATTAGAACTCTTTGTCAGCAATACACATCACACACAGCAGCAATAGAAAGGGATCAGGTTGAATTATTGGAAAGGGAACTTCATGTATTGGAAGAGGGCATAGCAAATGGGGTGGACAATAATAATGATAATAAAAATACTTGGGAGAAGAAGAGGGCATCATTAAGTAGATTTTTATATGAAAAAGCTAAAGGAGCTTTGATTAGATCTAGAATATTATCTATTAAGGACATAGATGCACCCACTAGATACTTTTTTAAGCTGGAAAGAAAGGTCAGGCAACATAACCAAATTATGCACCTCAAGAGCTCCAATGGGTCGGTGACCAGGGACCCGTCTGAAATGAGGAGGCTGGCTATAGATTTTTACAGCAACCTGTTTAGAGCGGAGGAGTGTGACCCAGAGCGTGTGGAGGAGATTCTGGAGGGACTTCCTCGTTTAGCGGAGGCGTCGGCAGCCTCCTTGGAGTCCAGGGTGCAGTTTGAGGAGCTGTCTGCAGCGGTGGGCCAGCTCAGCTGTGGTCGGGCGCCAGGTGTAGATGGGCTTCCAGCGGAATTCTATAAGACGTTCTGGAATGTAATTGGAAAGGACCTGATGGACGTATTCGAAGGATGTTTGGACTCTGGGATTTTACCGATGAGCTGTAGGAGGGCGGTACTGACGTTACTGCCAAAGAAAGGAGACTTGGGACTTCTACAGAACTGGAGGCCTGTATCACTACTCTGCACAGACTATAAAATTCTGGCCAAAGTACTGGCAAATAGACTTAAAAAATATATGGACTCAGTTGTAGACGCCAGCCAGACGTACTGTGTCCCTGACAGGACAATAATGGACAATTTGTTTTTACTTAGAGACATCATAGACCTGTCAAAATACCAGGAATTAGATATAGGTTTGTTATCTCTGGATCAGGAAAAGGCATTTGACCGAGTAGATCAGGAATACTTGTTTAAAACACTTAAAGCATTTGGATTTGGTAGCTTTTTTATTTCATGTATTAGGATGTTGTATTCAAGGGTCACTGTGTTGTTGAAGGTAGGAGGGGGACTTAGCAGACCGGTTTCTGTACAAAGAGGGATCAGGCAGGGATGTCCTCTTTCTGGGATGCTATATACTTTGGCTATTGAGCCTCTATTACAACAGCTTAGGAAAAATATAGCAGGTTTAAACTTAAAGGACAAAACAAATTCTTCATTTAAGTTGTCAGCATATGCTGATGACGTAACAGTTTTTATAGGATGTCAAGAGGATGTTAGGACTCTGGAACTAAAACTTAAACTATATGAGCAAGCTTCTTCAGCAAAAGTTAACTGGTCGAAATGTGAGGGTCTTTTACTGGGAGAGTGGGGAAATAAAGAGAGGCCGACCCTACCGGCAGGGCTTCAGTGGAGCACAGAGGGGATGAAGGTGCTAGGAGTGTTTCTGGGGAATGAGGATTTTCAGTTAAAGAATTGGGAGGGCGCAGGTGAGAAAATATGTGCCCGATTGTCTAGATGGAAATGGGTCCAGCCCCAGTTGTCATACAGGGGGAGGACTTTGGTTGCCAACAGTCTAGCTGCCTCCATGCTCTGGCGTCGAGCCACCGTTCTTGTTCCTCCGGACAAAACAATTCAGCAGATACAGAAGGCACTGGTGGACTTTTTATGGGATGGATATCATTGGATTCGATCGGCTGTGCTGTTTTAACCTGTGGCGGAAGGGGGTCAAGGGCTGATTGACCTCAGGAGCCGCATAACTGCGCTTAGGCTCCAGACAGCACAGAGATATCTGTATAGGACGCAGCAGCCCTGGACTCAAACGGCACCCCTGCTGCTGCAAAGAATTGGAAATCTGCAGTATGACAGGCATCTTTTTCTATTGGACCTGGACAGAATGGATATCACTCAAACCTCCAGTTTTTATCAGTCAGTGTTGAATGACTGGAGAACGGTTTTAAAAAGTAAGAGGGACTGCACTCAGGTATATGGAACGGCAGGCAATGAACCTCTATTCAATAACCCTGCCATAAAGACCAAAATTCTGGCCTCTGAGAGTGTTCAGAGGATGTTCACGGCAGCGGGGCTGACAAAGCTGGCAGGACTGAGGGCAGACGGTCAGTGGAAAAGTGCTGCAAAGGTTTGTGAGGACACTGGGACCAAGTCGTTACGCCTCATGGACAAACTGCTACAGGAGGTGATAAGTGGACTTCCTGGGTCCTTCAGGAGGGCACTGGAGCCAGAAGAGCATCGAGAGGGTTTTCCAGAGCTGTCTGTTGGTGCTGCAGTGGAGGAGCAGGAGGAAGGAGAAGGGCTGCTGCTGTCTTTCAGAACCCCAGAGCTGTGGAATTTATCTGAAGCACCAAAGAAGAGCCTATACGAGGTATCTGTGAAAGTCCAGAACAGAGCGATGCTGGCCGGGGTCAAAGAGTCGAGGTGGTCAGGTATGTTGGCACCGGGTTCGTCTCCCAGGGGCAGCTGGAGGTCCCTGTACAAGGCCCCGCTGGAGAAACGCAGTGCGGATCTCCAGTGGAGGATTGTGCACGGGGCCGTGGCCACTAACAGGCATGTGGCACGTATTGATCACAGGGCAGGGAGTCAGTGCGCGTTTTGTCAAGCGGAGGAGACGTTAGACCACTTATGGTTAGGTTGTCCCAGAATAGGTCCCCTATTTTCACTTTTAAAGCAGTGGGTGGGAGCACTAGGAATCAGTTTTAACAATGAGGTGTTTATTTTTGGTCCCAGATACTCGGCAGTGCAACGTAGGAAAATATGTCTGGTTAATTTTTTGTTTGGTCAGGCTAAAATGAGCATATGGCTGAGCAGGAGAAATAAAATGAAGGGGGCAGGTTCTGCAGATGCTTTGCTTATGTTTAAAGGTTTGGTGGCGGCACGTCTCAGGACTGAATTTTCTTATTATAAAATGGTGTCGGACGTGAATGAGTTTATTTCTATTTGGGGAGTTGGGGATGTATTGTGTCGAGTTGTTGATGATGATGTGCTTATTCTGAGTTTTTGAGGGGGGGGTTCTTATTTGGTTATTTGTTTGTTTGTTTGTTTGTTTGTTTGTTTGTTAATTTAATTTATTTAATTATTTATTTATTTTTCTTCTTTCTTTTTTCTTTTTTCTTTTGGGTTTTGGGGCTTTAGGGAGGTTGTGTATGTATGTATATATCTAATTTATTTATAAGTATTTATTGTAAATGAAACAATGGACCAATAAAGACAGTCCATGGTATCTATCTATCTATCTATCTATCTATCTATCTATCTATCTATCTAT